CTCTTGAACGAGTGCAAACTTCCTAATATCTTCGACTGATTATAATTTGTGAATCAGTTATTAAGCGCCATTTATCTAGTTGATGGAGCACAACACTTGACATTTTGAGGGCAAAGTGTCTATTGTGTAGATATTGTGAAAGTAAATGTGAGATAAAGAGAAGTAGGACTCTTTGAGCTCTTTGTCGTGGATCGATTCAAGTTACTTTCTGAGGAGGATATATTCGAATATTTTGCATATCAATGTGAAACAGTCATAAAATGGTGGAAATGGTGGCGGAAATTATTTTTAACTCTAACTATTAGCCAAAACCACCCAATTATTGATAATCAGAAACTTTCAAAACTGTATATTTTTAAATCGTTTAATGGTTTTACCATTAAACTTTGTACCACACCTCAACTGAGAAGAGACCTAATCTGATCAAGATTATCCGGATTCACAGAACAATTTTGTATTTCAAGATTTTCAATCTTTCAATGAAAATTCATTTTATTTTCCTTGATATAAGAAACCTTATCTTGGTAAAAAAATACAAATAAATATAGTTAAATTAAGACATGCGAAGAAACGCCTATTTATCTCATTGAATTATATCTCGGGCGATCCACAATCGTGGACAGGAAAGCACAAATGTTACAAAGCTCAGTGAGTGAGGCGCTTCACTGTCCATAATCCAGACGATTGAACGTCAATATTACCCAAACTCCCAAGTTCCAACTACACATGACTCCATTCCCAGCTACTTGACACGATGATTGGCTTGAGAACGGAAGTTTATGAGTTCATAAATATTTCCATGATATATTCATTACTTTCTAAATCAAAATTAACTCTTTCAATCAAAATAAAATTCCATTCAACCAGTTAATGTCTTAATTCTATTAAATTACCTTCCACGTTCATCTTCTAATTCCTGGTTTTCGTCTTCTGCTGCAACAGTTTCGCCCACCTACTACCATTCATTTATCTCTCCTTACACGTCACTATTGTTGTTGATGTGGCGTCACACAAATTCACTGTGCATTCTATTCCCCCATGCACTTCAGTTGCATTTGCACAATTGGCCATGGACGTGCGAGTTTCTGCCACATCTCTTCATTCGCCCTCCGAGAATTTGTTACAACTACACACTTTGACGCCTCGTCATTCTGTCGCTTCACCAGAATTTCTATTTACGAATTTATACCTTTAAACCCCAGACTCTAGGTGCCTGATTATTATTGTGTTGAAGTATTTCTAGAAGTATAGTAGGTATTTTTGACCTTGTCGAAACAAACATCATACAATGTCTGTTGTTTTAGGTCTGCTTTGTGAGTGGGCATTTTTGCCTCCCTAAGAATAACTTCTAATTTCTTCCTCTTAGGTTGTCCTTAACTGTTTGTTTACTAACAGGAGAACTTACGCAGACCTTTCCTTAACTCCGTCTTAACATTTACTGCACTTCGATATCTCTTTGTGCCAACGTGTCTCCATTTTACCCAATAAACAACATTTGAGACCTCTTTTGGTCACTTTCACTCGAAATAGAACTTTGTTTTTCACTGGAAACTGAAACTATCATCTCACATTTTTCTTCTTCTACCAACAAACAGCAGATATCAGCGTTCTTAAATACTCCACTAACTCTGTGCACAGTAATTCTAAACTTACACATTAGAGGCGCACTTTACAATAACTACACCTATCAGCCAATCATTTTGCCCATTTCCATTTGCCATTTTTTTCAGTTCTCATTCGCTGACACTGCGCTTTCAACCACGCCAAACACTCTTCGTATTCTCCTGCCTCACCAAATGTAGCGTTGCAATGCATCCTCCCACTTACCTTCACTTTTTACAGTAACACTTCCACACATTACCCTTCATCCACAGAGTTCAAATTAAAACTACTCCTTTCAAGACTAATAGAATAACCTCTAGAGGACGTATTTACTATGTATAGGCACAACGTGATGTCTTGATGCAGTCGTCTAACACTGTCTCCAACATCTTTCACCATTTTCAATTGTGCCAATGCATGCCAATGCTTGCCAACATGGAAAACCGCTAACTAGTAAAATGAGAAATTGAATGGTAGTCGTGTAAAGGTGGTAAATAAAGTTAGCATTTCAAATGCCACTTATTTCACTTAGTTTCTGCAGTCACTAGTTCTTCCAATGAGATTCCATCTCTCCCATGAGCACAGTTTACTGCCCATGTTCCTCTCCATTAAGTGGATGGTCAAATCTCCTCTAATCTCTCCTTTAGCACCAGTTAGTCGGTTCTAAGGTCTTCAAACAGCTCTCATCTCTCTCTCGGTTACTCTTCCAATCCCTAGCCAACTACTTTTATTGGGCCTACTACAGACTTAAAGTGAAACTTAGGACTTATTCCCACCTCATAAACGACCATTTTTCTTTTTTTAAATAAAATAAAGTAATACTTGGACATGCAGCTTAGTGCCGTGGGCACTCTTTGCACACCGGTATTCCCTCATTTACTACATTGAGTCTATTTAAATAGTGCATTTCCAAAATTGTTCAACCAAAAGTACATTAGTTAAACTGAATTTGCTTATAACTTTTATCAGCATATTTTGTTGAAAAGCAATAGTAAAAACAAAATTTAGAATTTCAGATTGTGCTAGGTTTTTCACGTTTTTCTTTTTGCCCGTTATAGCAGCACTCATTGCGCGCGATTATTAAATTTTGTCAAATATCGATTTAAACATGAGCATTGTAGCTGTGTTTTCTGGCTTTATCGACTTCCAATATTTCAAACCGTGCTTAGTTGGATGGTTATTTAGACACGACGGAAAATTCAATTAACAAGTGTTAATAGCTGATTTATGGAGTGGTCAGGTTAGCTCAACATTGAAAGCTGTATAGATTTATTTCAATATTCTTTCTGTTTACTGAATGATTCATCCCACGCTTATGGTTTTAAATTCAATTAAACATTGGATAAAAATATTAAATAAATTATGGACAGCATACCCAAACGTCCACAAGAGGTCCGTCGTAGGATTCCCCTTTGAAGAGTTCTGGAGCGGCGTATTGCGGACTTCCACAGTGCGTTGTAAGTAGGTTGTTTGGGGTGAAGAAATTGCAGAAGCCGAAATCTAACAGATTGCAAAAAAATGGCTTAAGTGGCGTAAAAAAGAGGTGCGTGTGAGCTGCAATGAAAACTTAAAATTTAAAACCGATCAAAATCACAAAGGGAATCATATCGATCAATTTTCGCATTGCCGCTATTAATGAAGCAATGACAACAACAAAAATGTCCCGATCACTTAAACAAAGAAAATGGGGGGGTGACCCAAAAATCATCCCCCTAAGCTCCCCCCCCTCCCCCCCCCCTATTTTAAATGATTTCCATGGTGCTGATTTGCATCCACTTTTGCTTACCTTCCAAATGGTTACGTTTTCCTGGACAAAAAATCATTTTTTTTTCCCAACAATTGCAGAAAGAAAAAAATGGTAGCCAAATTAAAAACCTTGAAGGAAAGGGCGTCACAGGCCTTTTAGGGTTGTGAGTAACCAAAAACTTCGGTTAATTTCAGGAAAGAAAGACCTCGATGAGCTGACTTCGTTGTCACCTCTCGACTTCTGTATCATTCCACATTCAAATTAGTTCACTGTTCTTCATACATAACAGATTTCGCACAATCAATACTTTTGCCATTTATTGGCTCCATTTCGGCAATCAGAAGGCCAATCTTCCAATCATAGATAAAGGCCAAGGGACATTTTAGTAAAGAAGAAAAAAATTGTGTGTCTTTTACGATAAAAATGACTTTCAAGACACCTTAAGCACTTGAGTATTTATTGTTGTTGTATTCGAGAAGAAAAGGAGTCAAGTTCCCTTCCATGAACAACTCCAAAGATACAAACAGGAGAGAAAATGAAGAGAATGGATAACAATTTTCCAAAAGCAACCCCATGCAAGTGTGTAGAGTAAGAAAACCGATTACGGAAATGGAATTTTTCGTTACACATGTGTAAAGCTGCCTCTTCAGGTAAAAGTTATAAAAAGAGACAGCCTAACTGTAGCAAAATCCAGGGCAATTTTCATCGTTTAAAATCATCTTAGTTTTCATACACCTAAAAAATTGAAATGAGAGGAGAAAAAACGGCTCGTAAAGTTATTACAGAAAAATTGAATAGATAGGTGCGGATATAAGTGAATGACGGCTGATTTGAAATTCTTCAAAGGGGGGCAATTAGATAAATGGTATGATAAAAGAAAAGCAACTTGTGGCGAATTTTTTCCATAAACTCTTACCAGCAACTTTAATTTTGAAATCCGCATCAATGAGTAGGTTCTCCGCTTTCAAGTCGCGATGAACGACGCCCAACTTGTGGCAGTAGTCGATGGCGCAGACAACTTGCCAAAACAGTTCCCTTGCTTCCTTCTCGGTGAAAGCGTGTGCAAAGCTGATATGATCTACATTGGAAAAAGAGAATTAATAGCGTTAACTCTCAACAATTCATAATTTATTTACAAGTGGCTATCTACAATCTTTAAAAAGTCATTTAAATTCTTCCACACACACACACACTTATCAAAAGGGTAGGGTAAGTCTAGAGAGCTTCGTTCATTTTACTATCGTGGAATTTTGCTCCATGAGGTACCAATATTTGGCGCCAAGCTGAATGAGTGTTTCGCTTATAACGAGCGATTTCATGATGAACTCAGTTTGGAGCACAATGCCTTGAGTATGATTCAATTCAGTCTGTTTATCCAAAGAAGTGTAATGGACACAGTTGAAATGTAAAATGTACTTTTCTTGGGGGGGGGGGGG